ATGGATCCCAGCAACTGGGTTTTTGCTGGACTGGGGAAGCACCAGGGTAAACTGTAATGTGTGCTCAAGCAATGACTCAAAGGATTGCATGAGGATTTTGTCCCCCATCTGTTGTCCCCTCTGTAAAGGCAAACCTAGGCTGCCCCACGTGGAGCAGATGACCTCCTCAGCATGGGTGTCTGAGACTCACCTCAGGCCCTGTATAAGGCAGGGCCAGAGACCAGAGCAAGAACAGGAGCCTTCTTGGGCCTCAGTTTCCCCTTCGTGAAATGGGGAGAATCCATTCACATAGGGTGTTTTGATGGTGCAATGAGGGAAGCTTGTCAAGGACTGACACACAGATGCTGGCAGATGTTGCAGATGCTGCCTCAAAACTCAAAACTCTGGAATGGGGTCCTGAGAGCCTAGGGATGGAGGTGCCCCCAACCATTCAAGAAATTCCTGGCTTTCTGAAGGGTGATGGGTAGCCCAGGCCTGTAGGGATTCAGGGGATTCAAAGTTGAGTATATAATTCCACCCTGCCCCTGCTTCAGTCTGCTCAGCACTGTCATGACCTGGGAGAATGCCTTCCCTTCTCACCAGCTCCTAGCTCTTTCACACACATGGTTGTATGAAGGAAGTGGCCAGGAAGGGGCAGTACAGGGAGGGAAAGGAGCCCTGGCTTCCTGTTCAGTGGGTTGGTGTTGCTGGAAGTGTAGGCACTCAGTCGGGCCCTGGGTGTGGTGGGGTGTCAATGCCCTGCTGGAGGGAAGAGCCCAGAGGTAGTTGGATGCTGGGCTTGACTTAGCAACCTCCTGAGGTAGCAGCCTGTCAGCAGTGATACAGCAAGGTTAAGGTGGGCCAGGGAGCTCAAATCAGGTCTCCGTTCTCTGCACCCCACAATTCTGGCCTATTTGTGCCAGGATGGAGCAAGTGCTGGAAGGTCCAAGTCCCCCTCTGTGGAGGTTCTCAATTCAATTAAGCCAATTAAAGTCTGGAAGATGAAGGGCACAGAAATGGCACGTGCCCTGCCCTGGCGCCTGCAGACCATTCTCAGCAGCCAGCCAGGCCTGTAGAACTTCTAGACACAGTCCGTTCTGCTATTGGCCATTTCAGTGATGACTGCTATCTTTATTCAGACTGAGAGGGGCATTGCCCAGGCTTACTGCAGCCAATAGTCCCTTAAAATGGGCCTGGCTTTAACTGATGGCTCCTGTCTGCCCTATGGCCTGTTGCATTCACAAAGATGAGAAAAATGAACAAATTCTGCCTCCATGGCTTTGAGCGCCTTCTCTGTGGGCCAGGCCCCATACCCATCCAGGACTGCCCACAAGGTTAGGAACCACATGTGTGAAAGAGCTAGGAGCTGGCTAGAGGGGAGGCATGCTCCCAGGTCATGGCAGTGCTGAGCAGACTGAAGCAGGGGCAGGGTGGGATTATACACCCAGCAGTAATCAGTTTTGGCTGGGCAACAGGCAGAGACTTTCTGGAGAATATTCCACTTGAATCTCGACTAAGAGGATTTGTGGGTGGTCAGAAGTTGGCAGGTGGAGCTGGAACAGAGGGCAGCAGCAGAGCCGGAGGGGCTGGGGAGCAGTTTTGCCTTTGGCTCCATGGGAATGGGTGATCAAATCATTAGTGGACTAGGACTTCAGAAAGAGCCTTCTACAGGGTGGTGACCAGGTGCCTGGCTGGGGGCCTATCAGGTAGTAGGTAGGATGTGGGGCTAGCTTGGTATGAGATGGAGGATCCTAAGGTGGGGAGGGCAGGAACCTGACCCCAGGGCAGTGGCAGAGAAGCAGGAATGGACTGACCGCAGGGAAGAGAAACAACTATGCCCTGTTAGAAGCCAAGGTCTTGCTCCCCATCTGGTAGCCATACCATGAGTCACCATGGTCTACTCAGCCTCAGCCAGTGGTCATTAGACCTTGGTGACTCTGCCACCAGTCTTGGGGAAGCTCTGCTCTGAGGAGCAGGCATTGCTGTCAGGCCCATGCACCACTTAAGAGCCCACCCTGTGGGTCATTCCCTCTGTCACCCTTTGAAACCCACCAGTGCTAAGCGGGCTGACCTTGGCTTCTGCTCCAACTGGGTATAGAGGCTCAGAAGATAAATGAGTCCAAAGCAACAAAGTTGTTCAACTGGCTTCCCTTTTGGAAACACCTTAGGTGGCTCAGTGGGGGCCATGCAGGTACTCAACTGGTTCCTGAGGTATCAGAGCCTGGGGACCCTGCACATAATTTTGCTGAATGGTGCCCCTCGCACACATGGCCCATGGTGGGGCCTCTTCTAGCAGCCCTGCCTGCCTGGGGCCTGGGATACCAACTTCTGGGGGGTGTTGGTGACCCTGAGGCTGGCTAAAGGCATTGCCTACACAGACAAACCAGACCCTTCTGTCCCCTCCAGCAGCCACTAAGCTGAGGGTGGCTGGAGGACAAAGCCTGAACCTGACGGTTGCACCAAGTTGCTATGGCAGGGGACAGCTGGAGCTCAGGGCACCATCCTAAGCAAAGATCCTGGAGTGAGGAGGCAAGGCTGTCTGGACAGCATGAGAAGTGCAGGTGGCAGTCAAAAGCTGACATTGTTGCATTGTATGGTCAGAAGTAGGGGACTCAGCTGTCCTCTGTCTCTGCCACTTCCCCTGGCCAAGCCTCAGTTTCCCCACTTTCAAGAAGGAGACCAATTCACACCTCTGCCACCAAGGTGGCTGCGCGCAGCACCACTGTAGGAGCCCACCCTGCCTGCCCCATGCTTTGTCTCCCAGAGCCAGGGCTCACCCCCACTGCAATGCTTGTTCAAGCTGCAGCCCCTCTGTTAACCCCAGGCTTCTGTCCCTTGCCACCCCTCCCCCAGCTCTCACCCCTTTCACTCCTTCCTACACAAGCCCCTTCCCTCACCCCTGCACCAATTGAAACCCCACAGCTCTTGGTTCTCGGGCCTGCCATTTTCTGTCACTCTGCTCCTTCTCTGTCTCCCAGCTGGACAGAGAGAAGGTTTCAATTCAGTCTTACTGAGGCTCTGTCCCAGCACACAGGGCCAGTGCCAGGCACATCATAGGTGCTCAGTCACATTTGTCAAGGAACACGCAGGGGAGCAATGTGTGGGAGTGGGAGAGGACAGCACAGTGGTATGTCTGTTGTTTGTTCCCACGTCTTACAGAATGTGGTATCATCTAGAGAGTTAACACTTAGGTGCCCAAACTTGTCAAACACAGATCACTTTGGATGGGCAGTTTTTGAAGTGGCTTCTCTGCCACAGGGCCTCCAGGGCAGGAGCTGCCATGGGTGTACACACCCTTCTTCACAGCTGTGGGGAATGGCCCAATGCTGGCCACAGATTCTGCTCTTAGGTGACCCTCTCTGCTCCCAGCACCAACCGGGGGCTCATACAACCCAGCCTGCTGGGCTCAGAGTGAAAGGTGCAGGGCTGTCCTGAGAGCAAAGATCATGAACCTGACCATGTCTGTTTTGGCTACCCACGGGCTTTTCTGTCTTTCCTCCTGGCTCTGGGTTATTTGTTTCCATGGGTAGTTCTAAATCAGAGACCTGGATTAGCAGCTAATTTCAACTTCTAGGAGGCTCCTTCTGAGTCAGGAGTTAACATATACCAAAGGTGAGGAATTGGGCCTAGCTGAGCTGCTGTCTGCTGCTGCGAAGTCTAAGTGCACTGAGACTAGTTCATTTCCACTAGGATATTGGAAGCTTAGCACATGGCCTTGGGAGATGTACCCACTTATGCACAGGCCAGGAAGGAGATGAAAGAGAGAAGCTGAGGAGGAAGGGCACAGGCCCAGCAGGCCCTGCAAAACTGTGAGAAGAGCAATCTGGGCGTGGTGGCTCCTTGGGTGAGGTGAGGGATGTTGGTGTAGTAAGGGGGACAGTAAGAGTCATGACATGATGCTCTGCAGAGCAGGGAGGTGGTGTGGCCCAGCAGTGGCCAGGATGCTTCCAGTGTGGGGAGATCTTAGCTCCTTTGTCATCAGGAGGAGAGAAGAGGGATGGGGGGCACTGTGCTGTAGGGCAGAGTTGCCAGTGACCTGTGGCTGCTTTTGGCTTTCTCTTGTGCGCCCTCCCCTTGTCCCTCCCCTTTTACTCCTTCTGTCCCCTCCCTCTCTGTCCTTCCCTCTCCCTCCCTTCTCTCCTTCTCTCTCCCTCCATCCCTCTCTCCTTCCCTCTTTGTCCTCTCTCTCCTCCCCCTTCCTCTCTCCCTCTGGGTCTCATCTCTCCTCACCCCTGGCCCCCCAGGTACCCTCAGGGCTACAGAACCCCCCTGCACACTAAGCCTTGACTTGACCTGCAGCCCAGCTGGCCCTGTCCATGGCTCGGCCTGCTCCCTGGAGCCCTGCACCGCCCTGGCATGAAACTGTGAGCCGCTGAGGCCACACCAGAAGACCTCCTGGGACTATAGCCAGCGGCACAGGGCGAGGCGAGTCTTAATCAGGCAAGAGCAGAGTGTGAGAGGGGCACCAAGCAAGGAGCTGCTAGTGGGCATGAGCATCCACAGGAGAACCCACCCATACTGGGCACAGTTACCACTGATCACTCCCAACACACTGCCCTCCCATCAGGGGGGTTCCCAAATGTATCTGGGGACCCCCAAGAGCCTCCATATCCCAGCTGGCCAGCGCTGGTGGCAGCGGGGTCCCAACAGGAAGCCCTAACACTTGTTTCTCACTTGTTTCTTCCCCACCTGGGCAAACCATCCCAGCTCTGGGCACTCATGGTGGAGTCCAGCAGGACATGAGAAAGGGCCACTGACCTAGCCTGGGAGGTGAATTTTGTACTTGCTGAGTCATGAGTCAGACTGAGCAAAGATTGGCAGAGAATGTTCTGGAAGACTGGACCCCAATTTTGTTCCAACCAACCCCCTGGCTTCTCCTCACCTCTTTCTCACCAGGTGCCCACACTTAGCTGCTTCCCCACCACCACCACACCCTGCCTGGGCACTGGAACTGTGGGTGGCTCCCCATCCTAGCTGCAGCTGAGCCGAGGCTGTCCCTGTGAGAAGGCCTGAAAGGCAGAATGGGCGACATGGCCAACAGTTCCATTGAGTTCCACCCCAAGCCCCAGCAGCAGCGGGAGGCTCCCCACGTGGGAGGCTTTGGGTGCACATTGGCTGAGCTGCGCAGCCTCATGGAGTTACGAGGGGCCGAGGCTCTGCAGAAGATCCAGGAGGCCTACGGGGATGTCAGTGGGCTCTGCAGGAGGCTGAAGACATCACCCACAGAGGGTAAGGCCCTCAGCACTCCCCAAGCCTGCAGGGGTGTCCCAAGCATACTCCTTCCCTCTTGCCCAGGCAGAAAACACTCCAGGGCTCTGGGGTACCAGGTGGCAGCTTCCTGGAGGGCTCTGTGGAGGACCCCTGCATGTGTGGGGTCACTTCTGAGTAGTAGGGTGGGGCAGGCAACCTCCTGTTACTGAGGGAGGAAGACACAGCTCCTGTGTGTTTCAGGGTTCCCTGCATGCTCAGCCCTCTGTTCAGTTAGGGGGACCAGAAGAGGAGAAGGGTGCACAGGGTGTGAGCCCTCTGGGGCTCAGGTTGCAGTGGGCCTCCCCCTGGGAAGGGAAGGGATGGCCCAGGGGTGGTACAGGGCCATGTGGGTCTGGTGGGAAAGGGGGAGCAACATTGGGAGAGGCCCCAGAGTGCTGGTCAGAGAAATAAGCCTGAGGGCACTATAAGTCTTGCTTCTGCACTTGGCCTCTAGAAAACCCAGTGAGCACCTTCTAAGATCTGGGGTGGAGGCCTAACTGCCATTTTGGGTTCCTGCCTCTCCCCTGTAGAAAGCAAAATTCTGCCCTGCCTTGCACCACCACCCCCTCCCCCCTGCAGGGCTGTGAGAGGCCACCAGAGAGCCAGCCTGGTAGCAGGTTTCAGCAGCCGAGTGTCTCTGGCCCAGCTGGCACTCACCTGACAGGGCTACTAGGGCTATCCCAGCCCAGTGCCAGGACTGTTTCCCAGCCAACGTGGGTTGATTTGATCAGCTGCCCATCTTAGTGGCACCTTGGCCCACCCATCTCCTCTGCTCCTGCCCAGGCATGGCCCCCAGCACCTCTAGCCTCCTGGCTCTGCCCCCACCCCTCTTGGAGACTTGAGGCCAAGCAGTATCCTGATGCTCTGGCCCCATCTGTCTGCAGTAGCATGTGGACTAGAGGGAGAAGTGGAGATGGAGGAGGTGCCCCATAGTCCAGGGCAGGAACCCGAGTTGGAGTGGTCTTCCTGGGGTCTGCCTGGGTCTCCTTTACTTTGTACTCTGGAGCTAACATGCCCATGGACACCTTGCTTAGCCTGCTGGTGTGCCTCAGGGTGGATGGCTTGGCTCTGAGCCAAAGGATCTCTTTCCTTCCTCCCTCCTTGCCCACCCGAGGACTCAGGCCCAGAAGAGGAGGCTAGGGTGGAGGACCACTTAGCCACAAGGGCCCTGGCCTCTCCCAGATCAAAAGAAACAGATGGGCTTCAGCTGGCAGCTCTCCCTTCTGTCTGTCAGGCCTTGTGAAATATTTAAAATGTCAAGGCCCCTGGGAACCTGCCCGACTCTGCCACAGAGCACAGGAGCTCACTCTAGCCCATGGAGGGGGTGGGCATGGAGAAGGGCAGGTGCACAGGTGGGTGGCCTGGCCCCTGACTGGCTTCTGAGCACCTGGGCCCCCACGGCTGCAGTGGAGAAAGCCAGGCAGGCTTGGTCTGCTGCCTGAAGAATGAGTGACATGAGGACCAGCTCCTCCTCTCTGCGACACTGGTGGCTCTTAATGTCCTCAGGCTTAAGCTGTCTGGGTGCCAAGAACAGGTGACTCTGGCTCCCCACATGACCTCAGCCCAACAACAAGCCTTTGGCAGGCATGGGGTCCTCAACATGCCTGCTACCTCGGCACCAAGGCTCCCACCCAGACCACCGCCCTCACTCCTGATCAGACACAATGGGCCTGAGCCATAGGAGAGGTAGCTTAGCTGTACTCCAGGCCCCATGCCAACCTCCTGGCAAGGTAGGCAGACTTGGGGTGCCCAAGAGGCAGCAGGCACACCCCCATATAGCAAGTCCTTACAGAGGGTAAAGAGGACAGGCAGGTACGTAGTGTATGGCAGGCAGGGGACTTTGTCTTCTGGCAATAAGCACATAAGTCAGCTAGCTGCCCAGCCTTTGTAGAGGCCTAAGAGGATTCCAGAACCCATCTCAAATCCTCCTGTTTGTTAGGAAACCTGGGTCTTGGACTGAGCCCAGTGGTAGGCTCCCCAGGGGAACTTGGCCCCACCCCTGCCCCTCCCTGGTCTCCACAGGCAGTCCTGGAAAGGAGGGTGGATTAGCTGGGAGCCAACACGAAACAGTCCTAATCCAATTCCGATGGCATCTGGCCTCTGCTATGGGCAGGCTGCCCATCTGTGTCCATGCCAACTGGCCACACCTGCCCCCACACCCTGGCTCTGGGCTGCCCTCAGGCTGCTAGGCAGGTACTTGCTTGGAATCAGAGGGGCCACTGGTGCCTTTCACCCCCTGTGATGGGCACTACCTCAACAGTAGCTGTTGGGACCCCCGAGCTCACAGGAAAGCCAAGGCCATGAGGCCGGGCCAGAGCAGCTGCCTGGTGTAGGGCAAAGAGAGAGAAGCAGCAGGGGCAAGTCAAAGCTAAGGGAGAGGCTGATAGAAGGACAGGGAGGGAGCTCCTGGGGACAAACCAGATACATGGGGTGGGGCGGGCAGGAGATAGACTTGCCTGGTACCACAGGGACCTATGGACTCTCTAGAGGCTGTGGTGGGCTTCTGTCCCTCTCTGGGGGCCCCAGGCTAGGGCATCAGAGAGCCTGGGTGTGTGATAGGCTCAGACAATGGCGGCCTCTCTAGCACCGACCCCACCTCTCATAGCTTCTTGAGGCAAAGTTGGGTTCCTATTCCCAGCCCCTCTCCTGCCACCTCAGGAGCTGAGGTCCTGAGTTTCTCCCAAATGCCCAACTGGGGATGCTATAGTCCTCTCAAAAGAGGACTTAGCCCCCACAGAAACCTGAGCCAGCCGGCTGGGTCCAGGCACAGTGAGGCCAGGGGGAGAAAGGCAGGAACAGCTGCAGCTATTATGGGTAGGGAGGACAAGCCTAGCTCAGGCGCATGGACGGACATGCCAAGCTGGCCACAAGCTTCTGCTTTTCAGACCTTCACCTCAGATGGGCCTGCCCCACACCTCCCAGAGCCCCACAGTTAGCACTTCCTGGCTCCCCATTCATCTGGGGCTGTGCCTTCCCCAGCCCTCTGACAGCTCCCTGAGCCAAGCCCTTGTGGTCCTTGTCCTGGCAACAGGTGGCAGGAGTAACGCCAGCTACTCAGGCCCAGGAGTTGCAAGGAGTCAGTGTGGGGCTGGTCCTCTGGGGGCCAAAGAGGCTCTGGAATTGAGGTGCCTCATTTGCTTAGGATGCAGAGGGACCCAGTGGAACTGGCTACCCCATACCTCACCCTCTTCGTCCTTGGCCTGGGGATGCCATGCCATCAGCAAAAACAATCAACAATCTCATTAGCCCCAACCTCCTCACTCCTTGTCCTCATGGAATGGGGTAAGAAGGGGTGGCTCTGATTGGGAAGCCAGAGCCAATGCACGGGCCCTTGAGGAAGCTGGTCACCATTTAGATGTGGAGCACACACACAGCCCTCACCATGAGCTCTGGCTGAGGATTCAAACTTGCCACTTGGAGCTGGGTTTGTGGGAAGGTGCCAGGAGTAAGGCGACTCTCTGAGAATGTTCCCTGCCAACCGTGTGAGTGAGGCCAGGCAGGAAGGGCTCTGAGCATCTGAGTTCTGCCTCACAGCTCACTGCCTCTTCCATCTCCTCGTCAGGCCCCTGGTGACATCTGATGAGTATCCCTGTCCAAGGGCATAGGCAGCAATTGACTTGCTATCCAGGAGTGGGAGGAAATTGGTTCCCAGGCACAGCTGAGAGTGGAATGTCCCATGACATGATGAGGCCAAGCAAGACTCTTAACTACCATGACTTCTGCTTTGCTCCAGTCCAGCCTGTGTCCTCCTCTCCTCACATGACACATCAGTTCCCCTCTCTGGGTCTCTAGACTCAAGAACTTGGATTTCTCTGCTAGCTTTCATGTTCCCTCTCTGCTGGTCTTTCCCTGAGAAACCTCTGGAAAGCAGCCCTCCACTCACTGGGTCTCCAGCAGCCTTCTCTGTCCTCCTCAGCAGCCATGGGCACCAGGGACTTCTCCCTGCTTCAAGAGACTCCCATATCCCTTGGTCCTGGCCCTGCCCACCCCTCTTTCCAGGCTCTTCCCGCCCCCACAAGTGAGGCTGTATGGCCCTGTAAGTCTTTGGGACCAGCTGCCCATGGGGGTGAGAATGTGGCCAAGGCCTCATGGCTGTCCATTTCTCAGGCTATCCATGTCCTGAATGCACATTCCCATCTTGCAGACCTGGGAGGGGCCTGGAGACTAGCTGGCTCTGAAGAAGATGGGGACCAAATGTTAGGAGCCAGAGAGATCTTTCCCGACAGGAAGAAGAACCCCTTCAGAGAGGGCCCTGGCCGAGTCTTTGGCATCTGGTTGGAAGCATGCTCATGTCACCCCCAACTCCCTTGACTGGTGATCCTCCCCACATTTCCTCTAAAGTCCCTCTAGACACGTGCTCTCCCCCCATGGGGTGGCTGGCTGCTCTCCGGGCCCCCCGGGCTCCCTCTGTGTTCCCCTTAACGGGTATTATCACCTTCCTTCAAACCCCCATTACAGGAAGTTGGGAGGTGGCACAGGACAGCCCCAAAATTGGGAGAACAGAAGAGGGAGGGCATGGCCTGGGGACAGGTCCCGGCCTCCTAGGCATGTTTCTCATCTGTGTGGAGAGGAGGGTGGCAGCCCTTCCACCCCGTGATGGTTGCCAGAGGGGCGCATGCTCACTCCATACATGTGCCCCCAAGGCTGTGCACAAAGGGTGGCCCAGAGGGAGGGTGGACCCTGGTCAGGAACTGGGCACCTGGGCATGTGAGGCGAGCCTGCCCCAGTGCCTCTTCCCGTGCCTCCTGGGCACCGTGCAGGCCTGGCAGACAACACCAATGACTTGGAGAAGCGCAGGCAGATCTACGGGCAGAACTTTATCCCTCCCAAGCAGCCCAAGACCTTCCTTCAGTTGGTGTGGGAAGCCCTGCAGGACGTGACACTCATCATCCTGGAGGTGGCTGCCATCGTCTCCCTGGGCCTCTCATTCTATGCCCCACCTGGGGAGGAGAGTGCAGGTGAGGGCAGGGCCTGAGCTGAGGGAAGCTCATGGATGTCCTACACTCAGGGCCAGGACTCTTGGTGGGCAGGCTCATGGGCACATGTGACTTCTCTATGTTTTCCTCCCCTGTGTCCTTGGCGCAGCCTGCGGGAATGTGTCAGGTGGGGCAGAAGATGAGGGGGAGGCTGAGGCTGGCTGGATCGAAGGTGCTGCCATCCTGCTGTCCGTTATCTGCGTGGTGCTCGTCACAGCCTTCAATGACTGGAGCAAGGAGAAGCAGTTCCGAGGCCTGCAGAGCCGGATTGAGCAGGAGCAGAAGTTCACAGTCATCCGGAATGGGCAGCTCCTCCAGGTTCCTGTGGCCGCACTGGTGGTGGGGGACATCGCCCAGGTTAAGTACGGTGAGTGTGCCAATGTCTGCTCACCCTGCCAAGGGAGCCTGCTGTCATTTCCAGGGAGGGTGAGCCAGAGGAGACCCCCACAGCACAGGCTCAGTTCCAAGGAGTGCATGTGCCATCACCTGTAGTAGGCTGGGGCTAGAGGAGTGTGGGAGGCATGAGACAGGGTGGATGGGGAGGGTTTCAAATGCAGGTCTTTTCTCCATGAAAGATGCAGTGTCCCCATTCCCTGGGAGCTGGACAACATGGTTAGATGTGGGTGATTCCACCCAGAGGAGTGTGGGAGGCATGAGACAGGGTGGATGGGGAGGGTTTCAAATGCAGGTCTTTTCTCCATGAAAGATGCAGTGTCCCCATTCCCTGGGAGCTGGACAACATGGTTAGATGTGGGTGATTCCACCCAGAAAGGCAGAGGTGGAAGAAGAGGTGTCCCAGGTCCCTTTCCCAAGGATGCTGGCGCTTCCAGGAGGAAATGGTGGGGAGAAAAGCCCCAGGACCCACAGCCTCTAGTATGGCTCCCGACTGTCCTTTAGGAGACCTACTTCCTGCTGATGGTGTCCTCATCCAAGGCAACGACCTCAAGCTTGACGAGAGCTCCCTGACAGGGGAGTCAGACCATGTGCGCAAGTCAGCTGACAAAGACCCCATGCTGCTCTCAGGTGAGGGCTGCTCTCCCAGCCAGCCACCTTGGAAGCCATTGGGGCCAGCATCCAAGTCCAAGGCCAGCCTGCCAGGCCTGGCCTCAACCAGAGCCTACCTAGGCAGCTCTTCCAGTTAGGGGGTCAAAGACTGCCCCCACCACAAGGCCTGCACTGGCATTTCCAGCCACAGGGCAAGAAAATGGGGCCTCCTAGCACAGCAAGGCCCTTTGTTTGCTGACTGCAAAGTCCCAAGAGGACAGGCTTCCTGGGGGGCCAGCACAGCGCCGTGCTGCTCTGAGTCCTGACTCTGGAGGAGGCCTATGGGTCAGTGTTCCTTCCCAGGAGGTTCTGCCTTAGCCCAGTGTGTAGCCCAGTAGGAAATCCAGTGGGAAACAGGACAGAAAGGCTGGAAGCTGGACATGGGCCCTGAGAATGCCTCCCCTATGCCTCTGGGCAAGGTCCTCCTTTGTGGGCCAGCTTCAGGTCAATACTGTCCCTAGTGCCCTCTGGTGCTAAGTCCCTGCTGAGCGTGTCTTCCAGCAGGGTGTACAGTCTGGTCTCTCTGTGTTGCTCTGCTAGGCACTCATGTTATGGAGGGTTCTGGAAGGATGGTGGTGACAGCCGTTGGTGTGAATTCCCAGACAGGAATCATCTTTACCTTGCTTGGAGCTGGTGGAGAAGAGGAGGAGAAGAAGGATAAGAAAGGTACAGCACCACAGACATCATTCACCCTCCATTCACATGACCTGCTCTTTATGTAGCCCTCCATTCACACGGCCTGCTCTTTATGCTTTGTCTGCCTGCTGTTGGTGTCCTGCTGGCCCCATCCCAGAGCTGGCCCTCAGTGGAGATTTTCCCCAGGAGAGTCAGCAGTTCAGGCCCCTCTAGGTCTGTGTAAGGGTAGCCTCCCTTACATCTCGCTCCCTCAATGCTTTGGGACACATGTGCCTAGGGTGAGGGAGAGTGCCCTGCCTAGATGGCCAGCACTCACTGGGGAGCTGAGGGTCTCAGACTAACATGACAGCCAGAGAAATGGGGGTGAGATGTCAGAAGTAGAATCTCCTGAGCTCAGTGAGGCTGGCTGACTAAGACAGGGCTCCTGAAAGGGGGACCATTACTGATGAGAGGTGGGCTGGGGTGAGGGTGGACAGCCTACCCTGGGGTGGCAGCCTTTGCCCTGGGGTACAACAATGTCTAGGGGCTAACGAACCTGCAGAGCTACCCTCAGTGCACCCCTGCTAGGTCTCCCCACCCCATCTTGCCCAGGCCTGGGTTTGCCCTCACATGTCTCTTGCAGTACATGGCAGGTGGGGAACAGCTTTCTAGATACGAGAGAACTCTGCTTCCTGCCTGAGCCTCTAGCTGGGCCCCAGGGCTGCTGAGCTGGGGAGGAGTTGTCAGTCAAGGCTTGTGAGGGGACAGATGAGCCTAAGGAAAGCAGATGGCAGCCCCAGCCCTGGGCCACCTTGAGGAGGTCCCTCCTCCTAGAGGCGATGAGGAGATGAGCTGAGTAAGCTGATGTTGCCTAGAAGATTCTATGGGCTTTCAGCCTGTCTCCTGGCAACCTAGGCCTGTGTCTACCTACATGAGCACCTCTGTCACCTCTTCTTTGTCATACCAGTCCTCTGTCCCTGCAGCAAGTACCCTGGGGGTACATAGGGTAATAGGTAGGCCCTGGGCTGGGCTGGGCTCCCCAGGTTTCTCTCCAGAGGAAGCCCAGTTGACCCTGGCTTGTGTCCTCATGCCCAGCTGGTTGGCAGGGAGCCCTTTCTATCCCAGGCCCTCCAGGGGCCCCCAAAGTCCTATCCCATGGCCTCATGGAAGCACATTCTCAGTGGCTTCTGTGCCTCCTTTCCAGACCCTTCACCTCCTGCTCAGTCCCGTAAATGCTGGTGTCCTTCCCAACTCAGTCCTAGGCTTGTCCTCTTCAAACTTGACTGGACATTCCAGCCCCTCCCATACCCAACCCTGTCCCCCTCTCCAGCACCATCAGGCAGGGCAGGCCCTAACAGGGGACCCTGAGGGGCCCTGGAGGGGCAACAGCAGCAGCACAGTCACCCCTTTGCCATCTCCCTCATGGCCTCCCTGGTCCCCTTTCCACCCACTACCCACTATTTCGTATCTTTTGACCTTGACGCCTATGTACCTTTCTCCTTCATATGTTGTCCTTCCCTACATCCCCTCCCTCCACTCCTGCCCCCCATGCCAGGTCCAGACCTCCTTTTCCTACCACACTCATCCCCAGCCCTCCCACCTCCAAAGGTTCCCTGGCTGTCTGCAGATGGGCTCTACAGTCCTTCTCTGGGCCCATGACCAACATGTCCCTTGATGTACTGTATTGTCACCATGCTGTCATCGTATGTCTATAGATGTCTTCCTTGCCACCTGGAAGTCTCTTTCGCCTCTGAACTGTCCCCCCAATCCTTTAGGGGTACTAGACCTCTCTCCATCCCTGGGGACCCCAGACTCTGATCCCACAAGCCACTTGGATCCCCAGGGACAGGAGCTATTGGATGGTGACTAATAGTTCAGCCCACAAACCCCTACTGCCCTAGCTGATTTGTCTCTGGGTCCAGAGCCATTGTGGATGTGGCCCTCAGGAAAGCTCCTCTAACTTCAGCCATTAGAAGGGCTAGGCGGCACCCTGGCCTCTGGGAGGGCTGCACCTGCCACCTGAGCTCCTAGACAGGTCTACCTGGTGCCCGCCTGATGCCCATGCCCCTTCCAGCCCTACCATGCAGTGGCCCTGGGTACACAAGGAAGCCCCACCCTGAGTTAACCAATGACCAAGAGGTACCTGGCAGGTGCCTAAGGCCAAGCAGAGTCCCAGGGTCTCAACCTTCTATCCCTGTAAAGCACAGGCTGAGTTGCAGAGAAATCCAGTCCCTAGGCCAGGGTAGCAGGCTGCTGGCTGCTGGCTGCCATATAAGTGAACCCCTCAAGCAGATTCTGGGGGAGCAACATTCCAACTGGGGGAGGTCCCTGCTTCTGGAAATCTCCCACTGATGGCCATACATGACCCAGTATCCATCAAGGACTGGTTTAGGGGTTCCTTATGGGGCTGGATCAAGGCCCAAGGGGAAGCCCCTGCCAGGGGTCTTGCTCAGGAATACCAGAAGTTTGTGGTGACCTTGTGGTGGGAGGTAGTGACAGGGTGAGCCTGGAGAGTACAGGACATGGAGAAGGTACCACTTTGGGCAGCAGTCAGGGCCACCAGCAATCAGGCCCCTCCGTCTGCTGCCTGTTGCCACACAGCCCCCAGGCTATCCTCCATGCCTGCATGTGTGCCACCGGGGTGTTCTCAAGCCTCCGTGTCTGTCGTCCCTCTTCCATTGTAGGCAAGCAGCAAGATGGGGCGATGGACGGTAGCCAGACCAAAGGTAACATGCGCCGCTGCACTGCTCGGCACTAAGAACACTGGGGTTGGGGCTGTCAGAGGGCATGGCACTGGGGGGCAGGGGGGAAGGCAGAGGGGGTGGTGCCCATCTCGGCGGCAGAAGTCACACCTGGAGACTAGGTGAGTGGGCTCCATGGTCCCATCCTGGTGCAGAGGGAGGAGAGGGCACACTCCTAAGGCTGCTCTAGGCATCCTGTCCACAGATACTGCTGGAAGCTCAGACTAGCCACCTAAAGGATGGAAGCCCAGCCATCAGGTAGCTGAAGTTTGTCCCTGCCTTAGCCCAGAAAGTACATAAAGTTCATCTGTGCATGGGCATACTAGGACCACTTTGGCCAGATAAGAAAACTGAGGTACAAAGCAGGTAACTTTCCCAAAGCTCTGCATCCCAGCCTGTGGGGCTAAAGCCAGAAGACAGTTAGTCTCTTGAGCCTGTGGGCCAAGGAGAGAGGGGCCAGCCAAGGCGAGAGGCCTGGTTCCGCACTCAGCCTGTATGCCTGGTGGGTACCTAGGCCTGCCATGAGGCACACACAGGCAGCAGAAGTGGCTAGAGGGCAGGTGGTAGCCCATGGAAGGGAGGAGAGGGGCAGACAATCCAAAGGTGGTTTAGAGCATGGCTCAGGCCTTCTGGAAGGCCACCACATGAGGGGGACACAGGGACAATATTCCTAAGTGGTATGCTGTGTGCTCACCAGGGACCTAGGGCCCATGACAGAGTCAGAGAAGCCACTTGGAGCTTAGAGAACTAGGGCTAGGAGGACATTTGGGGCAAGGGATGGCCCAGTGGCCTAAGCCCTGGGTTAAGGGGGAGAGGCAGTAGTTGGGGCGCACAGCTGAAGTGGGCTAACTGGATGGTGCTGCTGTGTGTACCTGAGGCACTGGGAGGAAAAAGCCATGGTGAGTGTCCTCAGACTGTCAGGTGAGAAGGAGACGGAGGTGAGGGGCCCAAGGATGGAGAGGGAGAAAAACAGGTCTGGGGAATTCCCCAGTCGCTGGTTAGGAGCAGGGACACAAGACACAGGTAGGGTGGACATAACTCCTTTGGGCAGTCGCCAAGACCCTGGAGCCATGGAGTTGGCATGGCCAGAGTAGAGGGAGGTGATGGAGAGCAGAGGCCAGAGCTGGGGAGCATGCCACTATCATGTCAAGGGCAACAGGGAGGAAGACCAGACACTCAAGGAGGAGGGAAGAGGCTGCTTACTCCAGGGGGAGGCAACTGGACAGACAGATGAGGCTTGCCTGCACAGCCCAGGGGATAGACTGATGAAAGGAAAGAGATGGCTTGAAGGCTCTTAGACCCCTCCCACAACTAGAATGAGGACATGGTTTGAACACCAGTGGACAAATGAGTCAGCTCAGGGTTCTGGAACATTCCTTGGGCCAGAGGCCTCTGTTCTCAGGTATTGAAATTTGGGTCATTCCAGAACTGGTCACCCTATCTGTGTGCCCAAATACCTTCTGCTTCTGTCTGTCCTTCCTTTCCCCAAAAGAACCATCTCTCTGTCCCACCTAGGATAGTGCTGGGGCTGCCCCATCTACCCTAGGGGTCTGGGGCTTAGGAGGTGGGCAAGAGAAAGGAGTGTGGAAATTAGAGAGTTCCACTGACCTGTGTACTTGTGTATGGTGTGGCATGTCTTTCCCTGTGAAAGCTCCTTGTAGTCTCTACTCTAGCCAGGCCCTAACCTTGGCTATGGGGTTCCTCTATATGCAGCTAAGAAGCAGGATGGGGCAGTTGCCATGGAAATGCAGCCCCTGAAGAGTGCAGAGGGTGGGGAGATGGAGGAGCGAGAGAAGAAGAAAGCCAATGTGCCCAAGAAGGAGAAGTCAGTCCTTCAAGGGAAGCTTACGAAACTGGCCGTGCAGATCGGAAAAGCAGGTAGGGCCGGGTGTGGAAGACACTAGGCTGCAGGCAAGCGGGAAGGGATTCGGCAGGGATGTATGGGCCAGGAGCCGGTGGGGCCGGCCAGAGCCAGGGATGGCCATCGGGGCCTGGCCAACTCCCCACAAGGGCCCCAGAGCAGGCATATTGCTCACATTACCCACAGGGCTCCCAACCCAAAGCTCCAGGCTCTGCCTGGGGCACAGTGGAAAGGCAGCCAGCTGGTGGCACCCCAACTTCTGAGGGGGGTCAAAGCTTGCTGGTCCTCCCCAGCCACACCCCTCTGGCCATCTAGGGCCTCCAGCAAAGGCCCTCTGGGGGTCCCCACACTTACTGTGCAAGGCCAGGCCTCGAGCTATTTATCCCAAAACATGGGACTCCTTCCTGCTGGGAGCCCTTGGAAAAGGCTTATTCCTCTGCAGGGTCTATACCTCTTCTTCCCTCCTCTTCCTCGCCTCCCTTCCTGCCCCATCCACTCTGGCAGGGCTAGTGATGTCCGCTATCACCGTCATCATCCTGGTCCTCTACTTTGTGATTGAGACCTTCGTGGTGGACAGCCGGGCATGGCTGGCAGAGTGCACCCCTGTCTACGTGCAGTACTTCGTAAAGTTCTTCATCATCGGTGTCACTGTGCTGGTTGTGGCGGTCCCAGAAGGCCTGCCTCTGGCTGTCACCATCTCCTTAGCTTACTCTGTCAAGGTATATAGTACCTACAATTCTACCATTTTACAGGTCCAGGAACTGGGATGGGAAGCAGCCACAGTGAGGGCTGGGACACTTTGGGATCCCAAGAGGAGGAGGGAAGTGCTGAGACCTCCTTTGCCAGGTTCCTGGGGACAACAAGATGAGCCAGGAAGGGGGCAGGCAGCGGGCAGGGCCCAGCAGTTGCCACATGCAGGATGCAGGCGGGGGTAGGACAAGGGCAGAGGATTTGAGGGTACAGGCACATGTGCCAGTGCTACCTACAGAGGCTGGGTCAAGGAGGCAGTGGGCAGAGTGTGGGGGAACCAAGCTGGGGCCAGGGAGCCACAGGACAGCAGGCAGCTGAGAGGGGCCTTGGGCACGGGAGGACCCAGGTGAGCCCCAAGCTGGATGAGATTTCTGAGGCCTTGACTGCAGGGTAGCACCCAATCCAGGCAGTACCTTTCCAGCCTTGCTGTCAGCTCAGTGCTGACTAAAGTCCCCAATTGGGCTATGAATGGCCCACTGGCTGAGCAGAGCAGAGTCACACACCACATTTGTGCTGACCAGCTCCCGCCACTCCTCCTCGGAAACTGAGCAACCCCACACTCCACTGTCATCTGTACCCTTTGCAGAAAATGATGAAGGACAACAACTTGGTTCGCCACCTGGATGCCTGTGAGACCATGGGCAATGCCACAGCCATCTGCTCTGACAAGACAGGCACACTCACCACCAACCGTATGACCGTGGTACAGTCCTACCTAGGGGACACCCACTACAAAGAGGTCCCGGCCCCCAGTGCCCTGACTCCCAAGATCCTCGACCTCCTGGTCCATGCCATCTCTGTCAACAGTGCCTACACCACCAAGATACTAGTGAGCTGGCAGGGTGGGCTGGTGCGGGTGGGGCCATGCTGGAAGTATGGCACGTGTTGTCCTGAGGGGCCAGAGCCACATGGTCTCGGGAGTGTGGGCCATCATCCTCCCCATCCCTGGCCCAACAGTGGCTCTGGCTACTGGATGAGGCCTGCAGATTCTGGAAGGCCTTTCCAAGCCTAGTGAATGATTTAAACTCTGCCTTCCTCTGCTCTCTGCCTGCTTCCCACACCTTAAGATGTGCTGGGGCCCCGAGGGTAGCCAGGAGGGGGTCTTGGGCACCCAGTGCCATGCTTGCTCTCCTTGCCTACCAGCCTCCAGAGAAGGAAGGCGCTCTCCCACGCCAAGTGGGCAATAAGACAGAGTGTGCTCTGCTGGGCTTCGTCCTGGACCTGAAACGGGACTTCCAGCCTGTACGGGAGCAGATTCCAGAAGACAAGCTCTACAAAGTGTACACCTTCAACTCAGTCCGCAAGTCCATGAGCACGGCCATCCGCATGCCTGATGGCAGCTTCCGCCTCTTCAGCAAGGGGGCCTCAGAGATCCTACTGAAAAAGTGAGTGGGCGCAGGGAGGGCCAGGGGCTGAGGGTGTGGAGTTTGTTTATTGTCATAGTGAAATAAACTTAACAGAATGTGGACCTTTCTCACCACTTTAAAGTGGACAATTCAGGCAGCACTCGTAACTCAATGGGTAGGGCACCGGCCACATACACTGAGGCTGGTGGGTTTGAACCCAGCCCGGGCAAGCTAAAACAACAATGACAACTGCAACAACAACAACAAAATAGCCAGGCATTGTGGCAGATGCCTGTAATCACAGCTACTTGGGAGGTTGAGGCGAGAGAATCGCTTAAGCCCAAGAGTTTGAGGTTACTGTGAGCTGTGACGCCACAGCACTCTACCCAGGGTGACATAGTGTGACTGTCTCAAATAAATAAATAAATAATGTGGACATTTCAGTGGCATTAAGTATCTTCACAATGTTGTGCAATCACCACCATCCAGTTTCTAAACATGGTCATCACCCCAAAAGGAACCCTGTGCCCATTAGCAGTCCCTCCCCATGCCCCACTCATGTGGATGGGTCTGCTCTGGGCATTTCACAGAAATGGAGTCACACAGGATGTGGCCTCTTGTGTCTGGCTTCTTAGTGCAAAGTTTTACAGTTTGCAGTGTACCCACATGTCATTCTTCTCTACTGCTGCTACTGTCCCACTGTCTGCTTGGGTCACGGTTTGTTTATTCATGCATGTGTTCCTGGACACTTGAGTCATTTCCACCCTGCAGCTGCTGTCTGTAGTACTGCCGTGAATATTCATACAACTTTTCAACTGAACACCCATGCTCAGGCTTCTAAGGAATGTAGCCAGGAGTGGAATTGCTGGGCCATATGGTACCTCTATGTTTAACTTTCTGAGGAGCCACCAAAAGGGGCACCATGAGGGAAGCACCACTCTACATTCCTACCAGCAATATACAACACTTCCAATTCCTCCTCATCCTCAATAATGCTTACTTTCTGATGTCAAAGTGATGATGGCAGCCGTCCTAGTGGATGTGAGGTGGGTCTCATGGTGGTTTTGAGTTGCATTTCCCTGTAACTAATGACAGTAAGCATTTTCTCATGTACTTAGGGGCCATTTGTCTTCTTTGGAGGATTGTCTATTTGAGTCCTTTGCTCACTTTTGAGTTGAGTTATTTGTCTTTTCATCATTGAGTTGTGAGAGTTCTTTGTATGTTCTGGAGTATATTCCCTCATCAGTACCTGCTTGGTGAACACGCTCTCCCACCCTGGGCCGTCATCTTTCCACTCTCTTGATAGTGTCCTGAGATGCACACATGCTTTAAACTTGTGCTGGAGCCAGTTGATGCATTTTTGCTATTGCATATGTGGGCCTTCTTTTAGAGGGAGGAACATGTCCTGGAGTTACATGATGGTGATGCCATCACATTATTCACTTTAAATGGGCAAATTATGCACTGTGTGAATTCTACCTCAGCAAAGCTGTGAAGGTGAAGTAAGGGGGATGTGCAGTCTCTCCACCAAGCACCTGGTCTGTCCCATTCCGTCTCATTTCCTTTGCCTCTGGCCTCCCACAGCACCTGCACATCGAGGCCCCAGTCACTTCTTCCACCTGCCTCTGGGGCCCTCACCTCCTTTGTTCTTTCCTGTCCCATCTGAAAAGCTCCTGGGGTCTTCAGAGTTGCCATGTCATGTCCCCACTACATGGTGACAGCTGATTGCCCTGGCATTCAGTTTTTGCCACCGTTCTGCACCCTTGCCCCATGGCCTCACTCAGCAGACCTTAGCTTATAGCTGAATCTCTCCAATCTCTGCCTGCCATCACATGGCCCTCTCCCTGTGTCTCTCTGTGTCCTGTCCTCCTTTTATAAGGACACCAGTCCTTGGCTAAGGTTGCCCCAATCCAGTGTGACTGCCTCTCTTCCTCTTGTTCTCTCCCCGCCCCCCACCCTGCCCCGCCCTAGGTGCACCAACATTTTAAACAGCAACGGGGAGCTGCGAGGCTTCCGTCCTCGGGACCGAGACGACATGGTGAAGAAGATCATCGAGCCAATGGCCTGTGATGGCCTCCGCACCATCTGCATTGCCTATCGGGACTTCTCTGCAGACCAGGAGCCTGACTGGGACAACGAAAATGAGGTTGTGGGTGACCTCACTTGCATAGCTGTCGTGGGCATCGAGGACCCTGTGCGACCTGAGGTAGACACCCCTCCTCTGTGAATGGCCTGGTAACTGTGAGGGGCTTGGATGCTGACATCAAGGAGGAAACATCCTTTGCCCCTCCCCCTCCCAGCTGGCCTTCAGAATCACACCCTCTGCACTACACTTTGCCCCTCTCACTGGGTGGCACCACACCAGGGTTTTATCCTGTCGTGCCCACCCCCATTGGGCCTATGGGCCTGCCTCAGGCTCCACCTTCTACCAGGTAGGAGAGGGTGGCAGTTAGACCCTTGATCATTGGCAGCTGATCCATGTAGGGCTGATGGGCTAGAGAGGGTGGTGGAGCCTGAAAGGGTACAGGTTAGGGGGACAGGGTCGGCAGTTCCCAGTTGAAGGATTGGTTGGGGCTGCATGAGGTTCAGGGCATCCCTGTAGACATGACAAGTGGGCAGGCAGATGGCTGTAGTAGTGCATGACACAAAGCAAAGATCCTGGCTGGAGAGAGATTGCAGAAGCATCTTTGTATGAGTGATGTCACCCGGACAGATTCATAGCTGCAACAGTGGCAAATACAAGATCAGAGCAAAGGAGGACAAATTAGGCCAGTCAGGGCCTTGATATTGGGAGAACATTTTCTTGGTCTTTAAAGATGGCAGACCCTCAAGAGAGTGCAAGTCTTCAGGACGCCAGGCCCTAGAAGGCGTGTGTAAGGCATGGAGGTGCATGCTACCTGAATGAGGCCTCTCCAATGGCTCCTACCTTGTGCCAGAAGCAGGACCCCCTTGGTCCTGCCAGTTAGCCTGTGAACTCCCATTTGTAGAAACCATTCTGGGGGTATAGGTGCGCCCTAGGGGAGCAGCCCCCAGGCTCTCCTTCAGGACACAAGCATTCATGCATTGGGCCACATGCCGACAGCACTCAATTCACAACACAGTTCGTGGTGCATCCAAATTGTCAACATGGCAGCCTACATTCCAAGAGGGAGCACCTTGAGCCTGGCCTGGGGGACCCTGGATAGCAGTAGAGAGTGGTGGCACAGGTCAGCAGGCAGACAGGGGTGAGCCACTGCATCCAGCTGAGCCAGGAGAGCAGAGCATGTTGGCGAGACAGGAAAGAGCCACCCCTGGCAGACATGGGCTCTGGCCTTTCCCTTCAGGAGCCACCAAGTTCCTCTGTTGGACCAGGGAGAAACTGAGACACAGAGTGGAGGAGGGCTGTGCTCACACACAAGCAGCCTTGGCAAAGGGACTCAGGGAATAGGAACAGCTTCTTCTGGCTTGAGAATGACTAAAAGAGTCTATCTGGCAGACCCTAGTCTCAAGGCTGGGTTGGGGGCCAAGGAGGTAGCAGAGAGGGCCCAGCCAAGTTCTGGGTACAGACAGCTGGCAGGAAGGCCCATGGGGCCTGGTCAAGCCTGGCATAGTACTTACAGGTGCAGATGGCCACAACCAGAGGGGGGCCCTTGGGGTTATACCCAGGAGGCACAGGAAGCCTGAAGTCCAGCTGAGTTCATGCCAGGTAGGGGCTATTGGCAACTTCTCTGGCACCCATATGAGGAAGGACAGTGTCTCCCCAAGGGAGAGGTCTGAGAGGTAGCCTCTGGAGATGAGGACCTTTGAGTCACCAGAGCTATTCATCCACTGCTATCAGCACAGAGCCCCTGGTTCTCAGGCCCATCACAGCCGCTTGGTGGCAGTAGAGGGATGGCATCCAACAGCTTCAGGGACTGGTGCAAAAGAGGGTTGTCTTCCTGTCTGTGGCTCATGGTATTGGTATTGCTGTCTAGCACCCCAAGATCTTCCAAGAGCAGAAAGTGTTACTGCTCTGTGAGCAAGGACACACATTCTGGGATGTAGGTACAAGTCGCACACTGCAGCTGGGCTCTTCCCAGGCTATCTTTGCTGAAGGGATCCTTGGTCAATCTGTTATAGCGTGAAGTGGGTCTCCTATCTTCTTGCCCCCAGTCTCTTCCTGGCTGAGGTCACATCCTCTCCCAGCCTCAGGGGCCATCAGCATGCAGGGGACTCCCAGGCCAATGACCAACATCCTCCTGTGGGGTCTCCCGGCTACCCTCCTCAGTCCCCCCACTGCCTGGCTCATGCTTCTGCATATCCACCCCACCTGCCAAGCTCCCTAGGCCAAGGGCTGAGCCACACCTGGGTCACCCACATGCTCTTGGGCTTTCTCCTTCTGGGGCTCAGTGACTGTCCCCAGGGCTTCTGTGCTCAGCCCACTGGTGCTCACAGGGTCCAGTGCAAAGTTAGCAGGCCTGGGCCTGACCTCCTAATTCACCTCCCAAATTCTGAACCTGCTCTTCCTCTCCCTCCTTTCCTGTCCCCTCACTGTTCCTTCCCCCGCACAGTGACATCAACTATATGACCCTGTCTTGCTCTCCTCTGAATCTGAAAAGCCATGTGCCTCCTCATTCGTTTGGAAACAATCCTCCCTGGCCCCCATCACTGCACAAAGCTACAACCTCCTGTCTGATATCCAGGCTTCCCTCTCTCAATCCCCACTTAGCACTAAAGGGATACCTTTCTCCGTCCCTTTTTCCAGAATCTAACATGATAGAGATGAGCCCCAGCTATAGTGATGCTTGGCTCAGTGAGGAGGCTGTACACAGTCAGTGGAAACTGGACATCAGGTCCCTGCATGGCCACTCCATTCCCCAGTGGGCTATTCAAAAAGTCCCATGAGGTCCTCAACACTTTGCTGTGACATGGGCCCAGCATGAGGTAGTCTTGCCCAAGTGCAGGTCAGTGTGCACACTCTGAGCACATTTAAGGTAGACCAGGCCAGGCCACAATCTATTAAATGCATTTTTGACTTATGATCTTGTCAACTTACAATGGCTTTCTCAGGATGTAACCCCATAAATTGAGTAGCATCTGTATTTGAAAGTGAAATGCATGCCACATGCCCAAAGCAACATTCCATTCTCCCTGCTTATGATGGGAAACCTACAGCTCTGACGAAAAGATTAATTTCTGAGAAAAAAGTCTTATTATATTATTTTAAAAATTTGAGGTAAGTGAAAGAGATGCCCCAAGCTTGGCCCCAAGTCAGGTGGCTGCCCTGAGTCAGGGTCCTGCTGGCCATTGGGAAGCTGGCACAGTGGCTGGGGGTAGGAGGCACCTACATTGTTCTTTAGGGCTGACAGAGCCACCTTGTCAGCCCACCAGGTGACCCAGGATGACCTAGGCCTTGTTTTCCAGGCTGTCAGGGCCTTGATCTGAGACGTCACTGTCCCTAGGCCCCATATGGTGAAGGAGGTACCCAGGGAGGTGGGCTGGGAGCCTAAGGAAGGCACCTGCCCTCTGTGGCTGGGTTGTGTGGTATGGCAGCACCACCAACTTCTGCACTGCATCTGGGCCAGCCAGCCCTCCAGAAAGTCCTTGCATTGGGACTACTGTCACTCTGCTGGGCCTCTACCATCTGCAGATCTGACTAGAGGAAAGGGCACAGCCTGGACTCTATGTATGTGTGGCCTTGTCTCTTCCAGGTCCCAGAAGCTATCCGCAAATGCCAGCGTGCCGGCATCACAGTCCGCATGGTAACTGGGGACAACATCAACACAGCAAGGGCCATTGCAGCCAAGTGCGGCATCATCCACCCCGGGGAGGACTTCCTGTGCCTGGAGGGGAAGGAGTTCAACCGGCGCATCCGCAACGAGAAAGGCGAGGTAGCTGCCCGCACCCAGACCACCCCCACCCCACCCCACCCGGCCCTCACTGCAGCCTCCGTGTGCCTTCCCAGATAGAGCAGGAGCGGCTGGACAAGGTGTGGCCCAAGCTGAGGGTGCTTGCTCGCTCGTCACCTACTGACAAGCACACTCTGGTCAAAGGTAAAGGAGTCTCTCGCCCCAACTCTGCCCTTCTGGATTAACAGGATGAATGGAAAATGCCCAAGCAAGACAGGCCCATAGAGCCTGTCCCCTCGTCGTAAAAGATGGGGAAACTGAGGCCCAGGAGCAGGACACACTTACCCAAGTCACATGATGCTGGGCCTCTTCCTTCTAACAAATCACACACTCAGCAGCATCTCCTATGACCCGAACAAGTGAGCCAGTCTCACTGGGTGACAAGGCCGGGTGTGGGTAGAGGGACAGGGCTGTCTGGTTAAACCTGGAGACATGATTACGCAGGTGATGGGGAGCACAGAAGATAAAGACAGTAGCACAGGCACAACCCCAAAGGGTTTTCAGAGCCAGACACTGCCCCCAAGATCCCTGGGCTGGGCCCCATGGAGCTGTGGTGACAGATGGCACCAGCCTGCCCTGCCCCACTCTGTGTTCCAGGAATTATAGACAGCACCACTGGTGAGCAGCGGCAAGTAGTGGCCGTGACTGGGGATGGCACCAATGATGGGCCTGCCCTCAAGAAGGCCGACGTGGGCTTTGCCATGGTAAGCCACACAGCATCAGCCCAGCTTAGCACAGCACGTGAGGCCTGTGTCCATAGCAGGGATATTAGCTTTGTACCAGAAAGTAGGAGCCAGTGTTTGGGTCGGTTGCAGAGTGCCATGCATGATCCTGGCCACTTGGGCCTGTGTGGGCTCTGCCAGTCAGGGTATGTGATGCCCAAGGTGATGGTGGGACTGTATCACAGAAAGGAAGTGGAATGGGAGCAGGGGCCTGGTCAGTGATGGCACCTGCCTGCCATCACCCACTCCCAGTCCACACTCTGGATGGACTCCTGGCCCCAGACAGGATGAGCAGAGTCCCCAAAAGGACCTTTCCTCTGTGCTTCTTTTATGTTGTTTCCATAAGGCCCTGACCCCTATAAACAGGGCGGTCTGGCAGCCCCCCAGGGAGCCCCTCTCCCCACCCTTTCGTGAGCCACATTCAACTTAGCCTTGCCCAGAATCCACACTCAGGGAGTTGTGAGCACCAAGCTGAGGGCTGCTAGCTGTCACAGGGCCAACCCTGAGGCAGAGACAGGGACTAGCACCTTGTACAGCTGCAGCTGCATCTTTGTCAAAGTATTGGGATGGAGGCTGGGAAGACAGATCCCTCCCTGCCTGAAGCATCCCCATCCAGGGCTTTCAGGGGCTTCTCCCATAGCAGGCCTCCCTAGAGCACTAAGAACAGACTGCAGGCTGCCTGGTGGCCACGTGTTGGCAGCTGGACCTTGTATGAGGTCAGGTTGAAGGCCATGTTGTCAGCACTCTGTTTAAGAGCAGAGCCTCCCTTTCTGTGAGATGTCACAAGCTGCTGTTTGTAATGCAGGAACATGTTGGATAAAAAGCTTGACTCTTCTCAGCTGAGTGGCCTTATTTGGAAGGGAATGAGCCCAGGTGGGCCAGGTGACTGAGAGGGACTGGGGCAGGGACCGCTCAGACATTATATGTCACCCCCACCCCCAGGGCATCGCAGGAACTGATGTAGCCAAGGAGGCCTCTGACATCATCCTGACAGATGACAACTTCACGAGCATTGTCAAGGCAGTGATGTGGGGTCGAAACGTCTATGACAGTATCTCTAAGTTCCTGCAGTTCCAGCTGACAGTCAACGTGGTGGCCGTGATTGTGGCCTTCACAGGCGCCTGCATTACTCAGGTGGGCACCGGGAGCTGCCATGCCCTGACAAGAACAGCAGGGCTCTCCCTCCCACAAGCACAAGATCTGCAAAGGCAGTGACTATGACTCAAGCTGAAGTGCTCAGGCCTCAGGGCCAGATTGGAAGACAGAATGTTTTTTTCTTTGCTACAGATTTTTTTATTGAAATCAAATTCACATACCAAAAAATTCACCATTTTAGCATACAACATTCAGTGGCACAATAATAGATTTACAATGTTGTATAGCCATCATCTCTAGCTAATTCCAGAACATTCTCATCAGTTGCAAAGGAAATCCCATCCCAGTTGACAGTCACTCCCTAGGCCTCCTCCCCTGGCCCCTGGCAACCACTCATCTGCTTTCTCTGTGGATTTGCCTGTTCTGGACACCTAATCGCAAAGGGACCAAGTCATATGTGCCCTTTTGTGTCTAACATGTCACTTAGTACATGTGTTCAAGGTTCATCCACATTGTAGTACAGGGCAGAATTTCATCCCTTTTATGGCCACATAATACCCCATGGTGCAGATGTGCCACGTTTTGGTTATCCCCTCACTGCCACTGGATGGTGGATCATTTCCACTTTGGGGCTGTCATGAATGGTTCTGCCAGGAATGCCGGGTGTGAGTCTCTGTGTGTCCAGAATTTCCTTGTCCCCCATCAGAAGGGTTAAGTTTGCTGTGGACAAGTAGTTAAATTACTTCCTGGTCAACTTTCCCCTTTCAAAGATTTGTTTTAATTAAGATAAAATTCACATAGCATAACCTTCACCATAATAAGAATTTTAACCCTTTTAAAGTGCATAATTCAGTGATGGTTAGCACAGCACTGCACAACCATTACCCCACCTACTCCCAGAACATTCTCACCACCCCAAAAGGAAGCCCTGTCCCCATTAGCAGTCACTGTCTACTCCACCCTCCCCAAGCCCCTGGCAACCACTCATCTGCTTTCTCTCACATGAATTTGTCAGTTCTGGAAGTTCCATGTGAAAGGAATCATACAATAGGGGGCCTTGTGTGTCTGGCTCCTATGAGGCTGACTTTGAAACACCTCAGAGGAGCTGAGGAGAAGGAAGGTACACTTCAGAGTTTCTGCCTCCTCTGTCCCTGGCTGCAAGGGGCAATGAGAGCGCTCTTTACTTGGTCCCCAATGCCAGACCCTTGACCCCATGGCAGCTTGTAAAGGATTTAGACCATACCTTTGTATGTCCCTGCCACCAGATCAGAGAGCAAGGCAGGCACTTGAATGCCCAGGAGAAACCCCTGCTAGCCTAAAGACAGCATAGGGATGAGATGTCACATTTTTATGGGCATGAAATGCTGGTGACACTGACCCCATGCTGAGTTTCTCCCCAGGAGCTGCTGTTTTTCCGGGCCCAGGCCTTCTGGAAGGGTGACTGCCTCCTCTTCACAGGACTCTCCTCTCAAAGCTGTGCAGATGTTGTGGGTGAACTTGATCATGGACACATTTGCCTCTCTGGCCCTGGCGACAGAGCCACCCACTGAGTCGCTGCTGCTGCGGAAGCCCTATGGCCGGGACAAGCCCCTCATCTCGCGCACTATGATGAAGAACATCCTAGGCCACGCTGTCTACCAGCTTGCCATCATCTTTACCCTGCTCTTCGTCGGTAGGTTGGCCCAAGGCACAGCCTACCTCAGAGGCACACAGGAGGCCTCTGGGACACTGTTTCTGTCCCTCTCGGGCTCAGACCCCATGTGGTGCACATCCATCTGAGTCCAGGCCCAGCATAGGGTGAGATGCGGCACTTTTTGACTGGCTGGCCCTCGCCTCCCTGCCAGCCCACACAGCGCCTGCCCACGCCAGGAGCCCGACTCCTTCGCAGCTGACAAACAGCTCCACTGCCCTGAAGTCTTGTCCACTGCTCAGGCAAACTCTCTCTTCCTCCACCCAGCCCCAGAGTGGCCACAGTAACCCTGGGGACAGAGTAGTACCCAGATCCATTCACCCACATACCCCAGGACTATTCAGCGGACAATGACCAGGGAGGAGGAGGAGGGGGTCAGCATGCAGGAATGGCCAAGCAGCAAGTGAGGTGGCCAGGGGCTCAGGAAGCAGGATAGGGGAAAGAAGGAATGGGGGGGTACCAACCCTGGCCTGCTGAGAAGATAGCACCCTGGGAGAAGAATGGGAGCCCCAAGCACGCCATGCATGCCATTGGCCTTGCAGACCAGCCCTGGTGACAGTGGTGGCAGCAGCTTTCCTGTGGGGCAGTTTGTCAGTTTGCCTGTGGCCTTATGTCAGTCAGGGGTGCTCTCCAGCATCTGGTGATCCTTGACTATATGGTCCCAGATCCACATAAGGACCTTAGAAAGAGCCATAATCACGGGTCACCTGTCACTGCCTTACAGGGCCGAGTGTGCCTCAGCTTTCAGGGTGCATCATGGTGTGTGCAGGGATAGTATTTGCCAAGGGGTAAGACCCCAAGGGTATAGGGGCCCCCAAATGTCAGTACCTGAGAATCTTCTGGGGAGCCCTTTCTCTGATTTCTTGGGAGCAGCAAGCTGGCATTGCCAGCGTAGGGCCTAAGTCCAGCTGCTCTCTGCCAGCTAGGGTCTGAAGAACACAGCACTAGAACATTCCTCCATCCAAAGTTCTTCTCCCCTCCCCTGGCAGCTTCAGTGCCAGCAGCCTAGGTGTGACCCTGGGCCTGCAGGGTCTCAGGACTCTACTTGGGCTTGTGTTTGGCTCCTTGGGCCTTTGCCATGAGTTCAAATCTGTCACCCTCTGGGACAAGGGACTCTGTGAGGAGCTACACACTGTTGTCTTGCTCCTGAGTAATGTGGCCCTCGGCTTCCAGGGGAGCTCTTCTTCGACATTGACAGTGGGAGGGATGCGCCCCTGCACTCGCCACCCTCGGAGCACTACACCATCATCTTCAACACCTTCGTGATGATGCAGCTCTTCAACGAGATCAATGCCCGCAAGATCCACGGAGAGAGGAACGTGTTTGACGGCATCTTCAGCAACCCCATCTTCTGCACCATTGTCCTGGGCACCTTCGGGATTCAGGTAGAAGGGGAAGCTCCACCTCAGCCCTCGTCTCCCCTCGCAGTGGCCTCCCTGCCCCACCCACCTCCCACACAGCACTGTGCCTTCTCTGTGTTTCATCTTCCATACCTCAGTGGGCTTGCCCTGGGGTCACCTGCAGGCCTCCAGAAGGGTTTGGTGGGCCTTCATCAGAACTAACTCTTCTCACAGACGCTGTAGTTGAGGCCAGCAGATCAGGAGGTGTGTACCATCACATGATAGTTTATTACAGGTCCCAAGAGGAGGAGGCATGCCACACCATGGGGGCCACAAGGGAAAGCACCAGCTAGGAAGAGACAGAGCCATGAGCAAGAGCCTTCACTGTGGCTTCCTTGGGAAGAAATGGGCAAGGCAGGGCAAGCATGCTCAGGACTGACCAGTATGGATCAGTGTGGCCAGTCCCAGGTGGAAGGGCATTCCTCGTGGTGCCGTGGGTGATGAGAGCAGAGACATAGTGGCCCAGAGTGTGAGAGTCCAGTAGAGGTGACTAGAGTATGGGATTTGAATTAATTGATTTGTAGTTAAACCAAAGAGATAGGAGGCCAAGGCTGGGTGACTCGGGTATGCCTGGCACTTACATGCAGGGCAGATATTAACAAAGCATCAGGATAATAATCAAGGTAGGGTGGCCAAGGCTGCAGCTGCTCCATCATGGTGCCCTTGGCCTGGTGGTGAAGACTTCCTTAGTCACTCACTGATGGAGAAATGAAGGCCCTCTTGCCAAGAGTACCCCACCTGCCCCAGGGAACTGACAGCCCCTCTGACTCCAACCAGGATGGATAGGCCTTCAAGGGGTGGGGCCAGCCTCAAGAATAAGAGTGGCCTTAGAGCCACCACTGGACCTGCCCTTCTCCCACTCATCTTCTGCAGATTGTCATCGTCCAGTTCGGCGGGAAACCCTTCAGCTGCTCCCCACTGTCCACAGAACAGTGGCTCTGGTGCCTGTTTGTTGGTGTTGGGGAGCTGGTCTGGGGACAGGTAAGTATCTTTCTGGTCAGCTTTCTCCACCTTGCTCCACTTCTGGTCTGCTGTGTGGATAGCACTAGGGATGGCCCCCATTGCCCAAACCCCTGCTTCAGAAGCTCAGAGCCCACCCTGTGACATGCCACCAAGTGAGAATGTCAACAGAGGGAATGCAAAGGACAATAGCCAGGATGTCACAGAGTCCCAGAAAACTATCTGCCACTTCCCTTTCCATGATAGGAGCCAAAAATTTCCCCTTCAAACAATTTTATGGCTTGGACAATCCCCACATATTTAAAATTAAACAACACCTTGCTAAATAATCTGAGGGGCAAAGAGAAACTCTTAAGAGAAATTAGGAAATATTTTGATCTAACAGAAAGTGACAGCTCTGTGGGCTGCAGCTAAAGCTCTGCACACACAGAAGTTTAGACAACCTGATGATTAAACCAGGAAGAAACAGCCGGAGTGGCTGCAGGTGGCCAGGGCACAGGCACAGAGCCAGCCCAGACTGCCAGTACACAAGAAGCCTCTGAAAGCATTTCTCTGGAGTTCTAGAACATTGGCATAGGAAGCTGAGCCCAGGATCCACTTCTCTGTGTGTCTTAATCAGGTTGTGCTGCCATAACACAATACCACAGACTGGACACTTATACATGACATTTTCTCACAGTTCTGGAGGCTGAAAGTCCAAGATCAGGGAGCCAGCAGGGATCAGTTCCCAGTGAGGGCTCCTTGCTGGCTTGTAGACAGCTATCTTTAAGCTCTCTAAAGGGCACTAACTGTCAGATCAGGTCCCCACCCTGATGACCTCATGTAACCTTGTTCACTTCATAGCTCTAAATATAGCCACACTCAGGTTTAGGGCTTCAAGTTATGAATTTGGGGGCAAACAATTCAGTCCATAGCACTCTAGGTTTTGTTTCTTAATCCACTGGTATCTCCCTGAGGCAGCCAGAGGGTCTGCTGTCTTCCTGGTGGTCCCCAGCGTTAGTGTCCTCAGGGACAGCCCACCCAGTTCCTCCATCTTGAGAATTCTTCTCTTTCCATCTGCCATTATACATACCTTATCTCAGAGCCACACTTGGACCTGGTCACTCCATGCAGTCCCATCAGTTCCCAAAACCTGGACCCTAAACACAGCATGGGGGGAGTCCTCAAGCTCCCAGGACATAAGGCTTCTGGTTCCAATGGATATCCTGGCCTCCCCCAGGAACATGGCAACAGCCTGTAGCCTGACCTCTCAGGACTACCAAGTGGTCCTTTTAGTTTTTAACTTTTTCCAATTACAAAAACAAAACGTGTTCATGTGAAAAAACTGAATAGTAGGGGATCTCTGTGAACAGGTCCTTGAGTCCCTTGCTAGCAACATTCGATGAAGACACTTGCTTAGACACACAAGATGGACAGGATGTATTGTTCTAGAACTCTAGATGCCTGTAACCCCTTTCTGCAGCTTCTGTGTCCTTCTAGAATGTCTCCTCCTCTTCCCAGTGGTCTGCAAAGCACAGAGCCTCTCTTCATTCCTGCCCGGATCTTCCTCTCCCTGCCCTTTTCAGCTGTCACCATCCTTGTCACCTCGCTCTCCAGTCCCCAATGGGCCCTTCTCTAGGCCTTTCTTACCCCAAGAGATGCCCTCTCCAAGAGACACCAAGAAACATCTTCTAGGCATTCCTTCCAGGGTGGTTGTGAAGACTGCTTAATTCTCCCAGCAAAGATGCAGGACAACATGAACTGAGTATTGCCACCCAGGGATGCTCCCCCAGACTGAGGTGTCCTTGGCATTCCTTGGGGTCAGTCACAAGGGTGTGCAGCACTCATGTGGCTGTCCTTAGTCCCTAGCCCTCAAGGTTGAGTCAACACCCTAGGGCCCAAGACCCCCACCATAAATCATGCTGTTCACATAAACTTCAGATCACATCCCAAAAGGCCTCCCAGTGAACAATGCCCCCCTCAGGCAGCATGTTCTAGGGACCCCCTCCCAGTTGCCAGGAGTGCTTCAGCACACACTCCTAGGAAATGCTGCTCAGCTCAGCATTTCCTGAGGGCTGTACTGACTTTGCTCTCTTTGATAAACATGGAAAATAACCCCCTTTGAAGGAAAGAGGCCAGTGTCTCCTTCTGGAGAACAGAAAGTGGCACTAGACAGATGCAGCCCAGGCCTACAGTTGCGGAGTTCAGGACAGGATGTCCCATGCCTGTGTCTGCAATGCTGGGGGGTTAGGCACAGATGCTGGCCTCAGCCAACACCGAAGGAGTTGGGAGTCTGGGTCCCAGGCCTGCTCTCATGGCCACCTCTCCTTGCTGTCCCTCGACTGCGGCTCCCCCAGGTCATCGCCACCATCCCCACCAGTCAGCTCAAGTGCCTGAAGGAGGCAGGCCATGGGCCTGGGAAGGACGAGATGACTGACGAGGAGCTGGCCGAGGGGGAAGAAGAGATTGACCACGCTGAGCGTGAGCTCCGCAGGGGCCAGATCCTCTGGTTCCGGGGCCTCAACCGGATTCAGACCCAGGTAAGCCACCATCTTTCATGGCTCCTCTGGCTCCTCTGCCACAGCAAGCATGATGCAGAGAAGGGGTAGTCTGAGCCCAGCACCAGCCTTTGCTCTTGCTGCCAAGGTCACAAAAACAGTTGCTAGTTCCCCTTGGCCATCCATGAGTGTGCCTACCTATGGCTTTGGTACTGAGATCACCTGTCCCTGACCCTCCCTCAGAGCCCAGGTACCACCCACATAGCAGGTGCAGGTGCCAGCTGAAGGACTAGTGGCTGTCTCTCAGGGGCACAGAGCAGTGCTGTCCACTTAACTGCCAGGCCTCGCTTTACTTGATGGGAACTTTGCCCCGGATCATAGGCAAGTGACATTCTTGGGAAGAGATGCCCATTTCAAATAGCCTTTGGCAAGTTCACTGTTCATTGGGTTATACTGTAAATACCATGGAAAGACTTAATTCAGTGGTCCTTTCTGCTCATCCACATCTCTAAACACCATGGCTGAGGCCATCAGCTAGTCTTCTTCAAAGCTAAGGCTGCATCTGGTGTCCAGCAGCAGCCTCTTGCAAAGGCTTCGTGATAGCCCATGTGCCAGAACTACTCTGATATCTGCCCCATCTCTGCCTCTGCAACCTTCTTGCCAGAATGTTCCAGACTTGGTGTTTTCCCATGTTCTTCTCTCCAACTCCCTTGTGATCCCACCACAGCCTGGCCTCTGTCTGCCCCACCCCAGAGGGCCTCTGCACCTGAGGCCACCATCATTCTCCCACCTGCCACCCTCCCAGGAGAGTTGCTGTCCCTTCTGTGTCTCTGCTCCCTGTCCCTGCCTGCCTGGTGCCCTCCTCCACCCTGCAGAGCCTTTATGCATTAAAGCTCCTAGACAGGAGGAAGAGACCAGAGCCCGAGCCCATCCTCAGCCCGGCAGCCTCTAGATGGCTGCCTGCTGCCCTCGTGACTCCTCCACCTGCAAGGCCTGGGCCACCTTCTCTCAGGTGACACTCTTTACTCCCTGCCTCTGCATGCTCTTGTCAGGACCTCAGTCCCACCTCCTCTGACATAGAGCCAATCGCTTCTCTTCCCTGGGGACCTGCCAGAAAAAAGGACAGCACTGTGTCCCAACCTGTGCAGCCCACGTAAGCCACCATCTCTGCTGGTACTGAGGCCAACCAGCTAGGTCCCCCTTGGGAGTCTGTTTAGGCAATAGACTGGGACAGGATTTGAGGCTACACCCCCTCTTTAATATCTGTCTCCAACCTGTCTGTCACATATTGCCAGCAGCTTGCTCCAAAGACTCTTTCGTGCAACTTGCCCAAACCTGTCCTCAGTGCCCTGGGTCCTGTGTTCACTCCCAGTAGTCTCAAGGAGCACAATCACAGGGGCCCCTCTTCTCCCAGGCCCCTCCAGAGCTGCCCTTCACACTGGGGCCCCTGTAGGCTCTCGCTATTGTCCTAAGGATGAAGTCCAAGCTCCCAACCGTGGCCTACAACCTGGCCACCATGGCTGCCTTTCCAAGTGTGCCCCCTGCTTTCTCATGATGCTGTGCCTGCATGCTTGCCACTATTTGGGCCCTAGGCCCCCACCAAGCTTCCACTGTACTCCCATGGGGCCCCCTGCTGATACTGTAAAAGTCTGCTCAAAGGCCACTAGTCTTATGAAGCCTTCTCAAACTTCACTCTCTCCTGCCACCATGGGCTACCTGTGCTCCCAGCCCAGGGGCACAGGAGTCTGGGCATATCAGAATGCCCTAGGGAACTTTCCAGAGGGACAGAGTCCTTAGGCCCATCCCCAGAGACCAGGATCCTGCAGAGCTGGGTGAGGTGGGACCAAAGAACTCCATGTTTAAGGAGTTTCCAGGGGTCAAAGGAGTTTCTCTAGCTGAGTTCTGAACTCTGAGTAGTGTCCCTTAGCCCTGGCCTGCCTGGAACTTAAAGAGTGCCCGGGAGAAGAAGGAGAGTAGCTTTTACACTCAGACAGCCTGTGTGCCCTCTCTCAGGTGGGATGCTAGTGTCTCAAATACCATGCCTGGGACAGGCCAGGTATTTTCCTCATTCCCCACAACACACATTTATGTGCTAAATTAACTGGCTGCTCACCTGTACCATCTGCCAGGCTGTACCTATGAACCCCCAGCTACCTCCAGATGGGCTTTAACCCATCGTACCCCCTGTCCTGCTGCAGAGTCCAGAGCTGCCCAAACTGGAGGGTGGGGACTAGCAGGGCCTTACTCCTGGTGGCTGTCTCACTTCTGTTTACTGCAGCCTAAGACCGAGTTAGCTCTTCTAGCAGCTAATACAGCACCCTGCCCTGCTCTGAGGCCACCTATGTTGTCTCGTGTCTTCTACATGCTGGTATAAGTGGGTCCTATCAGTTAAGAGCCTTGGAGTTCCAGGTTGTTCCAAGTGTCGATACCCACGTAGACACTGGCTGGTCAGGTCCCTGCATATGACGAAATGGGGCCCAAAGCACACCCATCTTCCCTCTAGAAACCACACTGATTCTTCCATAGGATCTTAAGCCCCATGGCTGTTCAGTTTGACTTTATCACATTGAAGTCACTGCTTCTCAAGAATTCTGAACTAATCAGTTATTTTCACTCAACTTTTTAAGAGCACCTACTCTCTTTGAATCAAAATAACTGCTTGAAAACCATAACTGAAGCCAGGGAGAGAGTGCTCAGGCTGTATGCACGCCCCAGTCCAAGAAAAACCTTTTTCTAGGCAGCTGGCCCCAGATGTCGGGATGCTGTGAACCACACCATTGCTCCCCAGATTTCAGAGGCTAGCACATGTGTGTATGCTCCCATGTGCAGGCACCTTATAACCTGCTACCTATTATTTCCATACTAACACAGATGGGCAAACAGGCAGGGCCTTACTCCAGAATAAAAGTGAGTCCTTCAAACCCAGTATATGTAGCTTTGGAAGTGCTCACTTGGTCTCCTCTTTGCCTTCCATGACAAGAGAATGAAAAGCTTCATCGGCAACTGGGCCTTGTTTCAGGACCAGTGCATGGGCTTCTG